AGGAGGGAGCCATAGCTAATACTTCTTTGAGGGAAAGAGTTGGGTTGTCTGCCCTGAAGAAGATGATAGTATACCCCATTCTGAAGTGGCCATCTCTTGATCTCACCCTTCTTGGGAACATCTTGCCTCCTGAGGTACACTATTTAGGATTATTTTGCTCCACAGGATAAACAGACATTAATATGGTAGAAATATTCTGATTATTATTTATACATTTGTATTTTCTTCCTTTGTTTTACAGTAAACTGCTCTGCATCCTTTGAAGTAGGCAGTAGATAAATGTGTGTATAAACAAACAAATAATTACAAAATTTTAAAAGATTAATAATACATCAAAATTAAAATTCAGGTTTGAATTAAAAATCTGATAGAACCATTAAAAGCAATCAGATATTTTACAATAATGGAATGTTTATTTCAGACATATTGATATAAAATATTAATGAATATAAAAAATAGCATCCAGTAAATTTGAAAAATTATTCAGAAAATAACTGACATTAAATGGGTATGGCTGGGTGGAATTAGTTTTTCTCCAGGTAGAGTAAATTAAGGATTGGACAGGTCTGTAGTAGGAGGTAGAATGCTATGGATAATAAAAGGTTTTTCTGTACATAGGAAAAGAACTTGGGCAGGTTCACTCCTTCTCTGCATAACATATGGCTGTACTACAAGAAATTCACATCTGTCCTAAAGACTCTTACCATTAAAGGGAAGATAATGGCAGCTGCAGTTGACTTAATGAGCCACAGGACAGCAAGGCAGAAGATCTGAATGAAAGTGTAAAGATGCACTTGGCGTAGTGGAACATGGCGTAGGTAAATGAAGTCTGGCTGGTGTTTAATAGGCATCAACAAGAGTTGAAGTCTATCTGTGAACTAGAAAAAGTGAAAGCAAGAAACATAATGGACACTCCCCAGTAGAAATCAGTGGTTGTCCCTTTTTTCTTCTGATATCGGATTGGCCTTGGCATAGTTATTTCAGGGGGCTCTTAGGGGTTGAGAGAGCCTTTTTAGTCTCTCTTGATGTGAATGGTTAGAGTTGTTCCTCAGCACATGGGATATTCCTTATTACACATTGTTATGTTTTAATTTTAATGTTATTACTCTTTTGGAAGATCTGTAAGCCACTCAGAATCAAGCACAATTGCAGTGGCATTGCAGTGGCATAGGAAAATAAATGAATAAATATTCCATTGAGAACCTCAGCATAGAATAGGGTTAATTAGATTAGCTCTTACAAATAACCTGATTTTTATGAAAGGAAGTTCAAGGGAGTAGACTGGGGTTTGCTGAACATAGAAATGTTTCTGGTTTAAGTAGTTGCACCCTCTAAAGCAAGAACAGGCAATCTGTGGCATACATTCAAGTCTTGCTGAATTATCCCAGCATCACTCTCCAGTGGCCATACCTGTAGAAGATGCTAGAAATGCCAGATGTTGCTAACCCTTATACACATACATGTGGTGGCTAATCATGAATTGAGAAGTTTGTGGTTGGTAGTTTGATTCTGCCATAAAGGCACTAAATAACATCATAAGGCAAGCTATTATTTGCTGATCCTCAAACCTTTCTATCAGCAATATGGGAATAACAACAATAAAACCAGTGTACCTTATAGGGCATAGAAATAGTATATGTCAAATGTTAAATATTACATTCATTTAGTGTAATCAAGAGGGTTCCAAAGTGGCTGAGAGGGAAGACTAAGAGGATGTAAAAAGAGGATTCCCAATAAATTTCATAGCTGCTTGACTAAGCATGGCTTGTTCCTCATTTTACAATTGAAATTACAGATCTGGAATAGTAAGTGAATCAAGGGCTGTTTCACCCACTGATCTTGCTTTTCTCTTTACACATTAGGAATGCTCTGAGCTCCAGCTTTACTTTTAAAATCCCTTCTTGCATCTCTACTACTTTATTAACGCTGAGGACTTCTTAAAAGAGAGTGAGTTCGGTGTAAGTGGTTAAGGCACCAGGCTAAAAACCGGAGACTCCTGGTAACTTTGGTCTAGTCACTCTCTCTCAACCCTAGGAAGGAGGCCATAGCAAACCGCTATTGAAAATCTTGCCAAGAAAACTGCAGGGACTCATCCAGGCAGTGACCAGGAGTCAAGACTGATTCAAAGACACAAAACAAACAAGTAAGCAAATACCCCACAACCCACACAACTTCTTGAAAAGGAATATATGAACATCCAGGAGACCTTAGTTATAGACAACGCCTTCCCACCTTATTCAGACTATATAACTCAGAAAATACTACATACTCTACTGATTGAGTTAGACTTCGTCAAAAGTCACAGTACCATCCTCCCCAACACTCCAGAATGTGTTTCTACAACTTTTTGCACTCACCTGAATACTGCTAAGTGCAGATACACCCATATAGAAGAAAATGCCATACAGCACGGGCATTGGGATAAACTTGTGGTAAGAAAGAAAGAAAATAAATCACATTTAAAGTATGAGTCACAAAAGACTTTCTTTAAGGCCATCTTGTATAAAACATTACTGTCAATGTCAACTTTAGACTGCATTAATTCAAGTCCTTCACTCTGAGATAATAAATAACATCTTTGCCTTCTTTTATGTGACATCTCTCCAGGTATTTTTCCTTTCCCCGAGGTCATCTTTCTCAAACCTAAGCATACATTTGGTCTTTCTTCGTAAGATTTTGGCTATCAGAATGGTCTATAATTCTACCTTCCTTTAAGCTTTCAAAGCAGAAATATAAAGAGGTTACATTATGTCATGGTTCATGTAAGGGATTTTACATGACTTCCAACCCCCCCCCCTTGGTATTTCAGTTAATATTTGTAATATTTTGTTTCCAGGTTCCTGCTGATTTATATTGCCCTCCTCTGTAGCTGTTCCAGTTTATCTGAATCTTTCTTATATTGTAGCACCCAGAAGCAGACACAGTTCTTGAACAGGATTCTGATCAATGCAACATATAGTGGAACTATTCCTTCAAAGTGAAATCAAACAGTCACAATTACATGTCTGGGAATCTATAGGTGGTCCCTATAGAATAAAGACCATCAACATATCCCACAACCTGCCTCCCTCTCTGTTGCAATTCTTTCCAGCAACGCATCAGGCTGAAATTCAGACAGCTGAATTCAGCTGTGCTACTGAAGTATTTAAGACAGCAAAATCAAACAAAGCTCACATGAATGGTGGGAAATGAAATAACAGACTTATATATTAAGTACTTGTAACAATACTTTTAAAAAAATTATATATATATATAATCACCTTGAGCACAGGTGCCAAGAACACAGACAATCCTGTGAGAATAAAGACCATCAATCCTGTCACTCTCTGCTCCCTGCAAGAAGAGCATTTCTAAGTTAGACCTCCTTATTTCAGAAGTCAGTCATCTACCAATTCCACCCAAAGCCTTCATTATGTTATCCAAGAGAACAGACGTGGACACCAATCAATCATTTCCTAGTGTATTATTTAAAACAGTCTTCCCTAATTTGGTGTCCTCCAAATGTGTTGGATTAAAACTCCCAATCCCAAAGTGAGCATAGCCTGCAGGGGCATTGATTGTGAATGTTGCATATATTTCCATGTTGGAGAAGGCTAGTCTAGCTGAAAGAGAAACAATGACAGATAATAACAAGTCAGCACCTCTATTTTGACTCCTTAAAAGAAAGGTCTACTCCCAGTACCTGATTCCAAGGAACTTTGGCTGCTCTCCTGGAGCACAAGTGGTGCTTTCTTTCTTAAGGCTGTCCATATGCGCCAGAGAGATGACTGTGGCGGACACATACCAGGGCAAGCCCATAAACGAGGTAACAATCATCAGTAGGGAAACACAGAGGAAATCTAGATGAAATCCTGCCCCTTTCTGCAAGAGAACGTTGATGTTAGCACTAGGAAATGTGGGCTGGATAATGCATGATAAATATTTCTATTTTAGACTATGACTCTTTTAATTGATTGGAACAAATAATATTTTCATAAGTTATGTGATTTGCATAATTGATCATGCTTCCAGAATTTCACTTCCTGGGTTAGAGAATTTTGAGTAATTTCTTACCACAATCAATACCATTTCCTTAGGAATCTAAGACAGAAACTCTTAGATTCCACAAAGAATATGGTACTAACATACATTTCATATATTGTCTACTAAATTTGGAGAAATATCTATTTCTGTTTCTGTTTTGGTAACTAATGTATTATCTTCTTCCTTCTTCCAGTTTTTTTCCCCCCCCCACAAATAAGGGAGCATGGCTTTCTACACACCAGAAGCTGGTGAAAGATAACATGAAGAAGGCAAAAGGAACAATCTGCATCATGCTAAGTTTATCCCTTCTTTTTTTAATAAGTGAGCCTGGAAGGCAGAATGGATGAAGTACATGGCCCCTTGGAACCCAGTAGCTTCCAGTCTCTTTCTGGGTAAACTTCAGAATGTTGTTATAAAGCCCTTTAAAACTTTAAAAATTCCAGACTATATGAAAAGCTGCCATATCAGCTTACTTGGCTTTAAAATCCTGTTCCTATTACATAATTGTCTTTGAAGCAGATGTTTAGTCTTAACAATTGTTCTGGTGCTCTTCAGTTTATGGTTCAGGGTCTGTATATTTAACAGACATCTTCTAATAAGCTAAAACATTATTCACAGCCCAACCAAATACTGACCTGCAGCTTATACTCCTTGCGGTTGAGAATGACAGCTGTTATCTGTTGATCCATGAAGATGAGGATGATAACTAGAATGGCAGGTACTGAAGACACTAAGTATATCCACCAGGGATTTGCTCCGAATGGAAACACAAGCCAGTCTCGCTTGGGATTTGTAGGCTGCAGAGAGAATAATTGGAAAAAGTTAGCAGGCCACAGGATGAGTTGGGGGTAGGTAGCAGAACTGTCAGCGTCAGTGCCTCTTAAAATATTTGGCAAAGAATATCCGCACCTTAATCCTTGTCTAATCAAGAAGGAAACTGTGCCAAGTCTTCCAGATGATGAAATTGCAGAGGGGTTGTTTCAGGTATTGTTTTATGGATACTCATAATTATTGTGGTTATCTGATTTCTTTAAAGATGGAATTGTTTTAAAAATGCATTCATTCTGTGTACATTTCATATACACAGTAAATAACTTTACATACTTTACATACTTCATATACTTTATAGAGAGTATAGGATTAGGATATACTGTAAGTATAAGGATATAAGTACAGGATTAAGACATCTCTATCTTACTGTAACCAAAGTATTTCCGTGACTTTTCTTTAGTTATTTTAAAGAAGAGTAGAAATAGTTTTAAGTTATTTATAAAATGCATTACCTGCATTTTTATTATTATATTCCCAAAGAAAGTTTGATATTTAAAAGATTAAAAACCAGGTAATTACACTTATTTAAAAACTATAAAGTTAAAAGGCCAAGTCAGCAAGAACAAGAGTCACAGCAGCATAAATTCAATCAGAATTAAAGTTGGGTAAACAAATAATGCCTTAGCTGATGCCAGCAGCTCATGAGACTTAGTGCAAACTATAATTAAGCATCTGGCTACTATATTGGGGCTGCTAAAATCCAGCTGACAGCAGCAGAGATTTTTATGCATCTAGTGGTTGCCTAGATTTTGCAGGCCAGATATGGTAGCCCAATTAAACAGGAAGAAAATTCCTGACTTGTGACACTTTTACTGTAAATACCTTCTTTCAAACTGTGTCATGGCTTCACCTGAGAAAAATTCCTTAGAGGAGTAAATTTATTTATTTGTTTGTTTGTTTATTTATCAAATTTATCCCTGCCCATCTGGGCGGCTCACAGCTTGTTAAAAACAATAAATAAATATACAATTAAAAACCTATACACACAATTACTAAAAAAGAAGGAAAGAGTCCAGGAGGCCTATGGTTCAGAGCAGCAAACGCCGGGCCTCTAAGGGGCAAGCCAACCCCACACCTGATGTTTTCCCTCCCCGCCCCAGGCCAGATGGCAGAGCCAGGTCTTCAAACCCCTCCATAAGGCCACGAGTGAGGTGTTCAGGTGACTCTGGTCTCAGGACTTTTACTTTCATATACGGTCCTCCAGTCCACATGAATAGCACCACAATCAGGTTCAATACCAGACAGCAAAAGGGCGCCAACAGAGTGTCTTGGAAATAAAGGTCTGTACCTCTGTTTCCCTACACTTAGATTAGGCTTGACAAGTGTAACTACTTAATAGTTACTCTTGTTAACTCATTGTACCTAGACAGCCTTTCACTAGGTAAAGTTTCAATGAGTACTAGCTTGTCCTGTCTAAAAGGGTTCCAACAAAAGATCATAAATCAGGGGAACAAGGCATTTACATCAGAGTCAAAATCTAGTTCAGAATTCAAAATAAGAAAGCAATATCTTTAAATCCAAAAGATTAGACACTGAAGAAAGGCAATGGACAAAGATTTAAATGTTTGGGTCCGTAAGCTCCTTGTCCTGGGCACAAAGATGCAATAAAAAAGGGTTTCAAATGGAGAACTTCTTAAACTAGAGCTCTCAGTTCTTCATCCCAGCCTAGCTGACATGCATTCATCTGGTTCAGAATTCAAAGTTCCCAAAAGTAACACCAGCTCCTGGGAAGATCTGTCCTCTCCAAAGCAATTCCCTTCAATCTAGCACTTTTGTAACACTTAGCATTCCAAGATTTGACTCTGAACCACTGCCACTCCTGTGAGCTTGGGACCCTGCAAGATTTTGGACTAGAATGTGTGTGTGTTGGGGGGGGGGGCAGTGCTTTGACAATACTTATAATGAGGCCTCATTTAGTGGATCAAATAGTTTCTAGCACCATTTTCAACTAATTTTCTTCCTTAGAGAATGAGCCATCTAAATGTGTATAGCACAGATAAGTTAAAGTACAGCTACAGTTTCTAGTATAACTTTCTCTGAGAGTAGCACATTACCAGAAGCCATTTTCCCTGCCCATGAGTTTGCACAGCCGGCTTGCAATCCCTGCTGTACTGACGCTTTACTGCTTGGACTGTGAACTTAGTCCTTTTGTCTTCCTACTTAGGAACCTCAACTAAGACTTGAACTGTTTTTCTCTTTAGCAGCTAAACTTACTTAATAACTGTCTCTGGAATTAGGAAATTAGGGTTTCAAAGATACTTTAGAAGAATGTCTAGATGGTACAAACATTAATTTTTAACCAATAAAGCCTTTATGGCTTGGCACCAGGTTATCTTCAAGACAATATCTCTCCCCACCAGAATTGGCCAAACCTCTTCAATCATGCCAGGAAAAGCAACTGGCTGTCCCCTATTTTCGGGAGGTTGGGAGGCCAAGGCTGAAAGGCATTGCTCTCAGGCCCCCTGGAATGGCCTCCCCAGGGTAGTGCATTTGATCCCAACTCTAGTTGCCTGGAGATTCTAAAAATGGAGCTTTTCCAGAGGGTAGTTAGGGGCTGATGCCAGATGCTATCTAGGATGTATGTTTCTGTATTTTTGATGGTAGGTTTCCATACAGTATTTTTAATTTTCATTGTTATTTACTGTTTTATCATATTATGAGCTGCTGAGAGTCTGTTTACGATTGTGGCAGGATATAATTGTGATAAATAAATAACAGTGTAATAAGAAACACTTTATATTAAGATTATGCTGTTCGACTACCAGAGAGTGAACAAAATTTATAAATTTTACTCAGCCAAATATATCTACAGTATTGAGTAAATCTTATGGGCTAAATATAAATCGTAAGACAACAAAAGTAATGGTATCAGCAAAAATAAACTGCCTGAATTGAATATTATGCTAACAGGAAAACAAGTGCAGATGGTGTAAATACTTGGACTGTATTCTGAATGATAGATGGAATCATAACATGGAAATAAGGAGCAAGACTGAACAAGCAAGATTGGCTTTTTGAAAAATAAGTAAGCTAGTTTGCTGTCAGGACAAGATTTGAACTCTGTTGGTGAATTGTTGTATCTCATCACTTCCACTGTATGGAAGTAGAGAAGCATGGACAATGACTCAAATGATAATCAGGAGAATAGAAGTCTTTGAAATGTGGGTTTATAGAACATTTATTAAAATACTGTGGGTTGAAGGTGTACAAAATCCTCCAAACAATGGGCAAAGATAGGGAAATTGTGAATACCATTTAGAAAAGATAATTGGAATATCTAGGACACCAGATACATAATGAGAAATTTCAACAACTTCAATTAGTTATACAAGAAAAGATTCAAGGAAAATTCAGCACTGGAAAATAATGCATATCTTGGTTGAAAAACGTATGTACATGATTTGGCAGAAATACAACATCCTTGTTTTGGACGTAACATCAAAAGAGCAAATAGCATTGACAGTTAGCAACCTCTGGACAGAAACAACAATAAAAGAATCAGAAGGAATTTTACTTCAGAGTGTATAGCTACCATTTTGCCATTCCTTCCCACTAACCCTGATCAAGGACATCAGATCTACATAATGAATTCCTGGCCTAAGTGGCACTGACAAAAGAGTATTCCTCTCAGATCTTACTAGGCTAGGAGGTAAGAGGTCATCCATCAAGTATCAAGGTTCTATCCGCCTGGAACAAAATACAGTGACATCAAAAGCAAGCATGCATTGTCACTTGCCCTTTCCCATAATGTAGTGCGTAATAGTCATAGTCAGTTTATTTTCCATGTGCATGGAAACTACAGCACAAGCATAGAATAAAAGCAGCAGTATATTGTAACATACTCCTATACATTCTGTATAAAACTACAATATAAAATAAAAACCCTCAAGAGTAAAAGGCCCATAGTTTACAATAATGTCAACATCATGTTTTCATAGGTTAAAAAAAATCAGAGGAGGCCAAGAAAAAATTAGTACTGTTTTCAACTTAGATCTGACTCTGAGCATATTTTTGGTGGGAGATGGTTCCAAAGAACCAGAGCCAGGTGAGAAAAGACACTAACCATGGCTATTCAAGGATGCAGGAGAACCAGTTGATCCTGTCTTGGTAATCAGATTAAATGCACAGCTAGCAACAGGTATTCCAGATAGCTGGGTGTGCCCTTACATGGGGCATAATGGGTCATCACCAGCAATTTATATAGTATCTTTCATGAAAGCCAATGTAATGATTGGCAATAATAAAAGGTGGGGGTAAAATAAGGAATATCCAAATACAGTAGTATGAACAGCAGCATTCTGTATATGATTCAAAAGGCAGAGGGAGGTCTTGGGTAATGGGACTAACAGGCTGCTACAATAATCCAAACGTGACACAACCATGGCATGAAACAATTGCTTAGCCATCTGGGGAGTAAATAAATGATAGATTCTGCAAATGTTCATTAAATAGAAATTACAGATTTTAACAGTTTTTTTCAGTGAAATGTTTTAAAGACAGTCTGTCATCAGTTTGTACTCCCAACTGAGGAGACTCACTACTGGCAGCCTTGAAAACCAAAGGAAAAAACAGGAAGCAGATGGATAAGATGATCTGGATGAAATACAATAATCTCTGTCTTATTCATGTTCAGCTTAAGACAGTGGGAACACATCCAATCAAAAATCCTACCTAGATAGTTAGAAAATGTGCCCACATTGTATCAGCCAGAGCAGATCCAAATGAATTTGAAAGCCTTCAGTGTAGATATGATAAATGATTTGGGAAGATGAAATCAGGGAACCAGGTGGAAGGATGTCTAAAGAAAATAAGAGACCCAACCCTGATCCCTGAAGAACCCCCACCGATAATGGGAAAGATCAGAAAATGAAACCATCTGGTACAATGTAGATAAGGTTGAAACCACTGAAATATTGGCAACACCAAAGAAGTTTAATTGTGACAGGAATATTTGGTGGTCCAAAATGCAGCATATACCTCTAGTAATACCAATCATGACAATTGACAGATCACCTTGGCTACCGAAACAGTAGTTAAAAGTCAACTATGATTGAAGCAGTTTAGTAGCTTAACCCTAGCCCAATAAATAAGGATTTTTTTCTTGAGGAACCAATACATCAAAATAAGAAGGAAAAGTACAAGGCCAGAACAAAGTTTGAAGCCTCACACTTGTAACAATCAGCACAGATACCATGACTTGTGTATAATATAAAAGATAAAACTTGGTGTTGAAATGTTGAGATTCTGCCATCAGGAGCTCTTGGAATCTCCCAACTCTCTTTTATCCATGTGACCAGCAGAGAAGATTTTTCTCTCTCTTTCACTCTCCCTTTCTTCCTTTTTGGTAGGTATACTGTGTGCATAAGTATGGATGTGTCTGTGTGTGTGCTTGGAGAATAGGCTTTAACAAAGTAGTTAGAAAACAATTGCTTGTGTTGCTGGCTTGTTTGCTGAGGGTTTCACTATCTATGCTCTGAGACTGCATATAATGGAATCACCTGCCTGCTGAAGATGAAGTATAAGGGGGCAAGCATGGAGTAAATGCTGGAAGCCAGCATCCTCCACTGTGCTGAATGACTACTTATCCAAAACCATTATCTACCAATGGCCTTGGACACCTGCCTTGCCTTCCCACTGTTGTACCCACTACTGTGGTGCCTTGCTGTACTTTGGAGTAAGTGTCGTATTGCTAGGTGACAGCAAAGGTTGCCTGCTGTCTTGCAAAGATGCCCTTCTGGATGTTTATGTAAAAAATAAATAAAATGCAACATATTATTATTTCTCTCAGTGTATTTGAAAGAAAGATAATAGGAAGCATCAATTTAACTCCTAGCTAAAGAACAGAATAAGCATAATCCTCATACCATTTCCCTAACTAGTAACCACAGTGGCATGTAACAGCTACACTCCAAAACCAGAGAACTAAATTCAGCAGTAAAACCATGGGACATGAATAAGGATATTAGGCATAATCCCCCCTCAAACCAACAAATGGAGAAACTGAGAAAATGGGCCCAAAACCTCACCCTGCCTATTATGTAATAGAGACAATATCCTTCAAGTGCAGAAGTGACACCCCCACCCCCACCCCCCACCCCAAAG